TTAAACATGAAGCACAAAGACATTAATAAAATAATGTCTTCATGCGTGCTCAATCATCCAGGTATGTAATACCCAAAAGGTTGATTCTGTTCATCTGGACGTAGCGTTTTCAGTGGGAGAAACGTTTCATCATCCAAGTAACTTCTTCAGTCTCAGCTGACTGCAGGTTTCCCCAATCTTATAAACAGTACATTTGCACAATGACTGAACCAGCCCACTACATGAACAATGGGCTGTGAGGTCAGTTCCTAGATCATTAATATGCAAATTCTCATGACCATTGTTCAGCGACTACTAATCGAAGCCTACTGATCAGATACCACTGATCAATGTCCATGAGTAACATCCACAGAGAGTTGGGGAATGGCTGCAATCACAGCATTGTAAGATGGTGAAAGATGTAGCCTTAGGCCCCCTCCTCAATTCAGAGATGGTCTTTCCCTTTTCACGTAAATGGCTTCCTTGACTTTGCGCTCAAACCTCCCTGTCCAGGATGTGTACATCCTCATCATTTTAAACAGTGTCCACTGGCCTGAAGGTGTAAATAGACTGCACAGTCCTGGCTTGATGAGGTAGCTCTTCTGTGTTGTGCCATCTGCTTCGCCAGAGGTTGTTTGGTTTCCCCGATGTATAAATCCTTGCAATCCTCCTGGCACTTAACAGCGTACACTATGTTACTCTGTTTGTGTCGGGGGACCTGATCCTTGGGGTGGACCAATTTGTGGTGCAGCGTGTTTTGGGGTTTAAAAGCCACAGAGACCCGAAAAAATGTGTCTCAACAGCTCCGATACTCCTGACACGTAGGGGCGTCATGGCGGGGTACGCCGGTGTGTTTGTGAAGAGGACCCAGAGGCAAACGCTAGTGAGAGGAACTGAAGCTTAAACAAAAATCGAGCCCTTATTAGGGCTGATGACAAGAGTGTGAAACAAAACAACTCGCACAGTGGCAGGGGCTAAACTAAGACCCAAACCGGCAATACTAGAAAAGACTATGACGACTATGAACGTGATTTTGCACAGGCATGAAAGAAACGATGAAATACAAACATGAACTAGATACATGAACATGCCCTGAACAAAATGATGAAAACCTTGGAAACCTGAAGTGACATGAGGGTAGGAAAACAGACAACCTGACGCTGAACAATGGAAGACACATAGGAGGTGATCAGAGGAAGGAGAAACACATGAGGAAACAGTCAAAGTCAGCTTTAATGTCAAAGACCATATATACAATCATACACAGGAATTTGAAATTGCAATGCTCCCATGGCCCTCAAAGTACACTAAAACAATATAAAGATAAAAAGATAGAACAAAATAGACGTCTTATGTACAACACAATACTATACAATTGTATAAACAGCAGTTTCCAACACAATCATAGTGATTGTGAGCAAGTTCGTGTGCAAGTGGGGATGGGGCAGTCAGCGAAAAGGCAATGGTGGAGGTTCAGAGTTTTGTATGTTTGGGGGGCGGGGGGTTCGGAGGGAGGAGGTGAATGCAGGTCTGGAGTTTGTGTGTGTGTGAGAGCAGAAAGTGAATTCAGCATCCTGACAGCCTGATGGATGAAGCTGTCTGTCAGTCTGCTGGTTCTAGCTTGGAGGCTCTTCAATCTAATTTCTGATGGCAGCAAACTGAAGAAGCTGTTGGACAGATGAGTGGAGTCACCTGTAATCCAGAGGGCTATCCAGATGAGGCAGGTGCAGTGGATCTCCTGCAGGGAGGGAAGAGAAGTACCCACAATCCTCTCCACATAGAGTCATAGCACACAGCGATCCAGGTGGTGAGGATACTCTCTCTCTTTTTTGACCAGGAGAGATCTTCTGGGATGTGCACACCCAGGAACTTACCCTCTCTACAACAGCACTATTGATGGTTAGTGGGGTGTGCAGGGAGTGAGTTCTCCTGAAGTCTATGATGATCTCCTTGGTCTTCTCCACGTTCAGGTACTGGTTGTTGTTGCTGCACCACTCGGCCAGATGAACTTCACCCCTGCAGTAGGTCTCATCGTTGTTGCTGATGTGAACTACCACTTGTGTCATCTGCAAACTTGAGCTGTGTGATGGTGTGCAGTCATAGGCTGAATGGGCTCAACACGCATCCTTGGGGAGCCCAGGTATTCAGTGTTCTTGTGCTGGAGGTGTTGCTGCCGACCCGTACTGTCTGCTGTCTTCCTGTCCGGAAATCCAGCAGCCAGTTACACAGCGAGGTGCTGATCCCCAGCAGATGCAGTTTGTGAATGAGCTGCTGTGGAATGATGGTGTTGAATGCTGAACTGAAGTCTATGAACAGCATTCTAACGTATGAGTCTCTAGTGTCCAGATGTGTGAGGGCTGAGTGAAGGGCAGTTGAAATTGCATCATTGGTCGATCGGTTTGGCCGGTGTTCTGAGAAACCATCCTACCCTGAGAAATCGTCCTACCCGTATTGTGATTTGCCAGTGACTTGTGAGTAAACCTAACCCTACCCCCTAACCATAACCATAACCGTAAGAACCATAACCTTGGATGAGAGAAAAATAAGTTCATTTGGGTTTGGTGTTGTGCGCATGCGCAGCGTCTGCGCAGAAACATTGGGTAGGATGTTTTTTGAGGTAGGATGGATTCCCAGAACACCGGTATGCAAACTGAAATGGATCCAGGTTGGGGGGAGGAGATGTTTTGATTTGATGCATGGCTAACCATTCAAAGCACTTCATAAGATGATGGAAGTGAGAGCGACTGGACAGTAGTCGTTAAAGCAGGAGGTAGGTGACTTCGATACAGGAATGATGGTGGAGGCTTTGAGGCATGTGGGAACGACAGCCTGGCTCAGTGATGTATTACAGATGTCTGTGAAGACATCTGTGAGTTCCACAGCACAGTCCCTCAGTGCTCACCCAGGGATGCTATCAGGACCTGGGGCTTTGCATGTAATGATCCTGGCAAGGGATCTCCACACACTGTCTGGGGATAGTGTCATCACCCGGTTGTTGGAGAGGTGGAGTCTTCAAGCATAGAATTTGTTAAGCTCATCCGGTAAAGAGGTGGAACCGACAGCGGTCTGTGGAGTGGGCTTGTAATCTGTGTTGGTTTCTATTCCTTGCCACAGCCTCTGATTATCTTTGCTGTCGCTGAAGCTTTGTGAAATCCTCCTGGAGTACTGCCTCTGATGCCACGTGACAGGTTTGCCCTTGCTGTTCTTAGGCTCACCTCATCCCCAGCTCTGAAGGCTGCATTTCTCAACCTCAGGAGCCTGTAGACCTCACCTCTGAGCCATGGTTTCTGATTGGCCCAAACAGTGATGGTCCTGGTCTCTGTGACATCATCAATCAGTGCAGTCTGTTTAAAGATCTCCCAGTATGTGGTGGAAAAGCAGTCTTGTAGTGCCTCTGAGGACCCTTCTGGCCACACACGTACCTGCTTACAAACTGGTTTCGTGACTTTGACCAGGGGCCTGTATGCTGGCATTAGCATAACAGTGATGTGATCAGAGGCACCAATGTAGGGGAGGGGCATGGCTTTGTAATCTCCTCTCTGGGTGGTGAAAACATTGTCCAAAACAAAACAATGACACAAATGAACACAATGACGCCACAGGGAAAGAGAAACTAAACACAATGACAAACACACAATACTCTTTCAAAATAAACCAGGAAACACTGAGGAAATAACAATAATCAAAGAATAAAACTAAAACACACAAAACACTGGGCCGTAGACCCAGTATCGTGACAACAGGATCACTACGAGTTTTTGCTTAGGCAGCGGTTGTCCTTGTCTCCTGGATCGGCTGGAGCTTTAGCCGCCTTCCCAGCTTTGACAAATGTCCAGTGTCCAGCTGGGATAACCACATTTACTCAGGGCCTTCTTGATGTGCTGTTCTTCTGCTTCCCTGGCTGCTGTGTCTGTGGGGATGGTGTTCGCTCTGTGTTGTAGCATCCTGATGACACCCAGTTTATGCTCCAATGGATGATGAGAGTCAAACCTTGAACACTGATCTGTGCGCGTAGGTTTACGGTACACATCAGCTTTTAGATGTCGCCCATTCCTGATGGAAATCTCACAGTCTAAGAAGGTTAACCTGCCACCTTTCATATCCTCCCTGGTGAATTTGTAGTGTTAGTCCACCGAGTTAATGTGATCCATGAATTGTGGTACCTCCTGAGATTAGATTTTCACGCAGGTGTCATCCACATATCTGAACCAATGTCTTGGTGGTGTTCCAAGGTAGGATAGCAAATCCTTCTTTTCCACTTCTTCCATGTACACGTTGGCTGCGGAGGGTGAAACTGGGGAACCCATGGCACACCCATGTTTCTGCCTGTAGTACTGACCCACAATAATACTGACCCTTGGATGTGAAACTGTCATGGCTCAGAGGCCCATGGAGTGGAATGGACTCAAGCGCAGAACCAAGAGACCAGAGGCTTGAAGTGATTTGCAAAAACAAAACTTTTATTTACAAGAATTCCTAACTTAGATTCTCAAGGCAAAGGAGGGCTCCACCGAGAGGAGGAGAGCCGATGCTGTGGAAAGTTACTCAGACTCACCCAGACCATGACAGAAAAAGGTAGAATTAACACACAGTTCCAAAAGCAAACACAACTGATCAGTGCTGAGGGTGGTTCTGTTGCTGAATTTGGGGTCATCCTCTAATCTCTTGCAAACTACCTTCAGTGACTGGAATGCAAGTGAAGGGAGATGTAACATCTCTCTTCACTGACTGTACATGTAC